TAAAAATATATACATAACTGTAAAAACAATTCATTTATCGTTCTGCTGAGAATCTAAAAACATTATAAATATTATTAATTAAAATACAATTTTAAAATAGATAATTCAAATGATGTGCTATATATTCTAAAATCAGGTTAAGTACAGGCATTGAATAAGCTTTAGATTTCGAATAAAAAATCGTAGTATGAATAGTACCTATAAAAAATTTGAGTATTTATTGAATAATTTCATGTTATTCCGCTATCCCGTGAAAGTATTTTAACTATTATACGTGTATTGTATAATAGTTGATCGTATACAGACCTAAAAGTAGACAAAATAACCACTCATCGTTATTGCCATATCAAGCTAAAGCTTAAGCAAAAAAACGATTCTTATGTGGCGTGTTGGTTTTTATAGGCGTAGGTTTATACGAATCTATTTATTATCTGGTATTTATTTGTGTTAACTATCAGCTATAGCAATATAACTGTTAATTTAGGTCGAAAGTACATTTAATCATTGTAACACGAGTGTAAAATTTACCATGAATACGTAAATATGAGTAAAATTATACTAGCAATAGCTAATTAACATTGGGCATTACTACTGAGATTACCTTTTCAGCTTTCAGATATTTTAAAGAAAATATGCAACGTTATAACTAAAAAATATATCAGTAAGAATATTCAGAATATTCAAGATAGATGATAATAATAAACAAATAATAAATAGAATATATTTTAAAATATATCGAAAATGTAATATACCATAAAAGTAATACATTTTTTGTTCCATAGTAAATAATTGTATGATGACTAAATGAACGGACTAAATTCAATTATCATATCGTTATAGTCTCATTTATATGTAGAGACTTGTTAATCGCTATGTAATTTACATTAATGGTTCTTTCAATTTTATATTGAACTTAATTCATAATTGTTTAAACGGGAAGAATTTTATTTATCTATATATTTATATAGGTTTTTTAATTCTTTTCAGATAGTTAATAATCTATGATACCTATTTTTAAATTATATACACATTAAATATACACTAGACATGAGATTCGTCAAGCATTTAGATATTGAATACTTAAATTCGATTATAAATTACGAGGATATAATAACTTATATTATTTTCATATTATTATATTGCTGGTTTGATGTAGTAAAATGATTGTGAATAAATTGATTATAATTATCTTCAATATTAGAGTCCAAAAATGTAGTAAGTATACTATATAATGAATTTATACGTTTCTTTAGAACTAAATCGTGGTTAACACATATATTGTCCTTTACTAACATCTCCCCTATATGATTAAAAAAGTTTTAATCCCACACAAATTATAGCATAATGGATAATATATTGTGTTTTGAGTTGAATGAAAAATGATTTATCATTGAATTCAAATAATTTAATTCGTTTATTAAATAGCAACCAACTCAATGGTGATGAAAACTTATACATTTGAAATCTTATACATTAGAAATTAAATTTTTCGTTTTTTGATAAAAAATAAAAGAATTCTAAAACGCTAGGTATTAATCAAAATGAATAAAATCACTAAGAACTAAAAAAAAACTCTAGATAATTACTAGTATTTGAAATTTATTAAAGCATCACATTGAAATACCAAATTCTCTTATATACCTAACAATATAATATTTAAAAGAAACAAAAATTTAATTGGAAAAATATGCACAATGTAGAAATAGTCATGACAGTAAAAAACGTTATTCTTATAGGATTGTGTTTTTAGACTTTTTTTTTATGAAGAAATTTGAAATTCAACTGCAATGTATCTTTAGTAATATAATGATATGTAGTAATATAGATAGGGTTAATTTATCGCTTTAAAAACCACTATAAAGATTTTTGAAATTTCCTTTTTTTTTATTTATCAAGCAATATATATGGCTATATTAGTTAATTTATTGCTTTATATATTCTTCATTCAGAATTTTCCAGACTTCAGTATCCCCTTGGAATGATTAATTAAATCATTATAGATAATACGTGCATTATAAATTTAAGTATTTATACCTTATTAAGAATTATTTTATCGTATGGTGTCAATCGAATACAATACGGTAAATTATTTATGCATTGTTTATTCATGCAGCGTATAAATTTTCAATAAAACAACTTTTATTACAAACATAACTTTTAAACAATACATTTTTAAATTCATTTTTTATTTGTCTTTTATTAATAAAAAATAGGCCACCGTCAACAGACATTTGACAGGATAAACTACTTAAGAAATATTGATTTCGATTTTATTGCTTTATGTTTTCGAAAATGAATAGCAGTACCATAGAAAGCATTTATTGAAAATAGTAGGCACGATTTTGACATCGCGTGACTTTATGAGTATTGCTTTATTGCAATAATTGTAATAGGAATGCCAAATGGTTTTAATCTAAAAAAGACTGCCTATTCGTATACATTCAATAACTTTATTTATTATCTTATATTAGAATTTCTTAAACATTAAATATTTTTAAAAACAATTTTGGGGTTCTTATTATTAATTAAAAATTGTATTTACTATATTATTACATTACGTTAATTGAATATTATTGTAATAAATCTTCTTTTTAAATTTAATTTTTCTAAAAATTAATAAATTACTATTAGAAATGATTTTTATAGTATGGTATAACTTAGTTATTTTTGGTTTTTGGATTAAATATCTACCATCTAGAGTCTAGACTTCTAAAGTTTTGAACCATTTAAGGTAATTTACTTCATGAGAGAAGATTTATTATAATGAATAGATTTAAGATAATTCATATAATGGTTTTTACTTTATTTTGAACATATTTTTCCATTTTAAGGAAGATTTGGATATGCGATAAAAGTGATAAAAGGGTGGGTCGGTAGACGATATACTACATACTCATAGATGCTTATTTTGAAAGATGTTAAAACTTACTATGCTATTAGCTTCAATAATAATGTTAATATAATACCATACATTTTTATGAAATAAAAATCATAATAATATATTAATATAATTTTAATTGTATTTATGATTTTAGTATGATAAGTTTTTAATTTTTATAAATATAAATTAAATAATTTGTACACACAAAAACAGATAATTCAAATAAGTTATCTAAATAAAGATTTATTTTGTTGTTTATTTATTAAGTATATTGTTTTTTGACGGAAAGAATAAATAAGAAACATTCATACTATCGTCAATACATTTGTATATTAGTTAACATTTTGAAAATGTAATATATTAGTTGCATTATCATTTATCTCGTTTAAAAATATATAAGATAAAAAGAAACAATACCTAGTTTAAGAATATAGTGATTGATAGTACCTATACTGTATGTTATATAAAACAGTAAACCTTAAACAGTTAAACATTAAGATCTCTTATTTTATCTAATTAGACACATTTTATCAGTTATTCTACTAACGTTTAATAGTGTACACGACCTTTTAAACAAAGAAAGTTATCATTTATAGGTAGCCTATCACAAGGTTTAATAATTTAATACTTGAATATTGTATATGATACAGTGTGTTTAAAAATATAGGCGCCTATCTTAACTTAACGAATATGCACATGGATTGGCTATATTTAATTAATACATAGCTTTTTAACAATATGTTGATTTATTTAAATATATGGAAATTTTATCAGGGCACCGAACCATTTACTACCAAAAAACATTATTTTAGTAAGTATTGAATTCAATAACACAGTATAATCAAAATTCAACATAAATCATTAAAATCTATTGTGTATCGATAGTCGATAATAAAATTGTGTGATTTTATAAAAAATTAATGTTCATTATATAAACAAAATTATTTTTTTTAAACGTTGACCTATAGTATAACATGTTCTTATAAAAATAATTTATTAAATTTATTATTTTCTTGCTTCTTTATGTTTTAATTCATAAAAAAATCGTTTAAAAGTTTTAAATTTCAATCTGTATAAGAAATTAAATATGTATATAAATATGAATTAGTTAATATTAATTAAATATGTATGTATATTGTAAATTAATTGAGTATTAACATAATATGAATTTTTCCAATTATATTTGTTATGATAATTTGCGAGTAAATGATTTTTTTATAGTTATTACTATTATTATGACTATTTTTGTGAAATATTAGGAATAGAAAATAAATTATTGTTTTTGTAAAAAGTATTATATTAATAATTATAGAAACGTAGCTAGGTTTTAATAAAAGCTTATATTATGTCGTTGGCACTCAATTAATTGGTTATAATTTCGGAAGTAAGTAGTACATATATCGGTTATATTAGCATATTAGTTGTTTAAACTTTTTTTTAATCTTTTTCTTTGGTCTTAGATTATAAAGAATATTTTAGATAAATAATTTTAAAGAATAGATCTAATAATGGATATAGTATTAATTATAATATGCTGATAATACATATTAATTACTAAAATGTCTAAATCATCACAGTATTTATAATTACTAGATCTACCAAGCTCATAATCATGGAATTATTATCGTTGATACAGTGATATACAAAGTTAAATAATTTAAAAACTACTTGTTTGAATTTCGGTTTAGATGCATCGAACTTATCAAAAAATATATTACTTAACAATAACTAATAAGGGTGAATTTTATTTGGAAAAAAACTTTAGATCGCTATTGGATACTCTTTAAATTGTATATCAAAAAAAAAACTTTAAGTGTTTAAAAATATATTTTTTAATAGGTATATTTTTAAAATTAACAAATATTAGAATATGGATAAATGTATTATTAAGGGTAAAAATGAGGGTGAATACATTCTTGGTGAATCAGCCTGTATATAGATATATATATATTATATTATGATTTATGACGTAAATTGTGATTTTAGTTTTAATGACCACTGATCCACAGTTTTCATTTATAACGTTATGTGTACAAAACACACTGTCTAGTGACTAAACTATATACTACAGTCGTGCGGAAGTCTATTTCCTATATGCACATTAATTATTATTATTTGGGTGTGTTGCCCATGGATACTCTACTTCACGCATTGCACACATATGTGCGCACGCGCATATGCTGGTATACTTGTTTCATTTTTACTAAGTATAAATGGTTGAAATGTCAATCAAACCGAACGTTTCCTGCAAAAACTTCAATCCTGGATAATACAATGGAGGTTGATGAGACTGCCTGTCCAAATGCAAACAATTGTCTTGGAATGTATACATGGATATAAGGTGGTTAGGTTTGGTGTACATAATAATGTTATCTAGCTGCAATTTACAGAGTGTTGAACAAGAAGAAGGTGAGTGAACGTTTAAGTAATATGCTAATATTTTGTATTACTAATATTAACCTACAACGTTCAAAACAAAAACATACATGAATTCATTGAATTCAATGTTACATACCTGACATTTGTCAAGTTCTTAATATTTCTAAAGTAAAAGATAAAATGTTATTTATAATTATTATGTATGATATATTATAGAGTTTTAGATGATTATAGTTATTTTATATTTTATTAAAAAAACAAAAGTACCTTATATTATAGTGTAATATAGTGATTTCATGTGTTGTTTTTTATTTATTGTTATTATTATTAATATTATTTTATTTTGATGTTGTCAAAATTTAAATCATTATTAATTTTTGTTATGATATATTACATTAAATACTTATTTATTATTTTTCAGATAATTTAATAGACTCCATGCACAACTATACAAATTTGAAAATATTTTTGTGGTCCGGTTCCGGAGATGGTTCAAATGAACCAACAGAAATATCAACCACTAAAAAAGTTCCAATTTATTCTGTAAATTAATTGACTTATATTTATGGTGACTTTTTTAGTATAATAAAAACATAAATTAATGAAATATAATATTTCAGGAAAATCCCGAGGATTGTATAGGCGGACAAGATTGTAATATTCAACCTACGACGTCTATTACGCCACAACTCGGGGTTATTGACATCCCACAAACTGCCGAAATACCAAACAAAGAATATTGGATAGTAACAGAATTAAATTTTAACTCGCCAACGGATGTTCATATTTCCATACCAGTCATAAAAGAAAAATTGGCCATCCTCTACACGATTGCTTTTACAAGGTATTTTACGTCATATTTAAATTATTTATACGCTCACTTTTTAAACAAGGAACATACTAAAATATATGAAAGTTGTACGTACAGCATCCGTTAATACGCTTGGACAATAGAAATACCACGCGTTGTGTATTATGTACCTGTATAAAACAATAAATACATGTATGTGAAACTCAAAATAATTGAGATAATTAAAAGCTAGTATGATAATGGATTATTCAAATATTAGTTATTAACTTTGATAGAACAAATCATTATTATCAAGACTAATAATATTATTTTTTTGTAGTCGAAAAACATGAGATAATTTTAAATCAAATAAAGTTTTTTTTTTCTCAATTTATGAATACCTTATATACCATAAATACATATATGATATATTTTATTTATATAATATAATCTAGACTCTAATTTTCCGAGACAATATGTTTTAATTTGTCAGATACATATTTCAAATGTTCGATATAAATGTTAATTTGTTTATTCAGTGCTTTTACAGTGTAAGAGTAGAAACATTCAACATAAGTTTCCATGATAATCGTAACTATGTGTACACAAAGTAACTGAATATAATTAATATTATCTATATATACCATATACGTATAATTTTAAAATACTTCGTAATCTATGTATAAATTATGCATTAAGTCATATAAACAATAGTTATAGAGCAGTTACTACGCTTAATATATACTTATATACTTAAAAAAAAAAAAAAAATGATTCAATTTTAAGTCATAGTGGCTGATACCCGATTGACACCAGATATGAAATGAAGTTTCTATAATGTATCGTTACGAAGCGGACGTTTGATCAATAAAATAATATCCTATACTTAAAATACGTATATCCGAAATAGTTGTCCATGGAATTACAGGCGATTTAATTCTATTCGTGTAATATATCTACTATAATTACTTATCACTTTAATTTTGTTCATACATTAGACAACAGGCTCGGCATCTCGGACTAAACTCAAATTGGACCGAGGATGAAGTAAATTCTGATCGGAATCGAAGATGGGATACAAACGAAAAACCAATTAAAGTCAGAGTAGACGTTCTATCCGTATTGAACAAATTGGATTTGGTTTATTTTGTTAGCGTAAATGACCATCCCGTGTCTGCTGCAACGGCAGTACGTGACATGAGCCTTGTTACGACACGGGAAGCTACAGATCATTTGGGATATGCTGTAAAAATCAAAGCCCGCCGTGAGTAAAACAATAGTATATATATTAAACAAAATATTTTTTTAGTTTTCAAAATTCAAAACTCGGTATTCTTATATAGCTTACCTGGATGGATTACAGTTTCAAAGAGTGCAAGGTCTAAGCTATGGCGAGATTTGGGTTTTCATTACCGCAACATGTATAATTGTACTAGTACTTGTAACTGGCATAGTCGTAGCACATAAGAAAAAAAGAAGAAAAAATAGCATTAGCTCCAACAGGACTAACATGGCGTTTTGTGAAGATCAAACACCTCATCACGATGTATTTATTTATTTTGTAACATGTTACTAAAAACAAAACTGCGCAGCTAAGAAATAAAAACTATTTTTCAGGTAAAAACAGAAGCTACGTCTACTGAAGATATTGGTGCTCTTCACACGCCCGAACCAAAGCCAAGAAATAGAAATAAAATTTCAAATTCATTGCTTTCAATGCAAGCAGTTAATAAATTTCAAAAGTTAGTAAGTCAATTTAGTATGGAATAAAATTATGTCTCTACTCTAAAAAAAATCAAATAAAAATAATTAATAAAAAAGTTGATATATTTTCTTGTGTAAAAATTCTATCTCTCTCTCTCTATATATATATATATATAATATATGTATAAAATAAAACTAAAATCTAGTATAAGTGTAATTTGTATTTATTATCATATTTAGTAAAAATGTTTATTCATTAGAAAAATCTAATAATTTAAAACTTGACGAACACCTTTAGATGGGTAGATCGATTGTATCTTAACGTGAAAAATTCCTGGGGCGTTTTATTTTAGTGAGAAATAAGTAGCCATTGAGATGAAACTAACATGATAAAAAAAAAAAAACTAAACGGTTAGGTTGCTTGATAGATACGATCCTGGTATCCCGGGGTGAATCATCTCAGAAGTAATATTATACTAATATGATCAACCGTTAGTTTTATGGACGGATTACACAGTAATAATTTAATAACAACAGATGATAATTTATTGTTTAGTTCATGAGTGGTATTTTTTTTTTTAATGAATAATCATTGCCCATAGAATTATACCACATAATAAAAAACATTACAATACTTACAACAAATACGACTATACACAAATTAATAACTTCACGCAACATTATCGCATGATCACGCTCTTACATAAAATAATTAGGAGTGAATAAAAGTTTTAACTAGGTACCTATAAAAAAAAAGTCATCCAAAACTACGTTTGTTTTAGTGCGATGAAATTATTAATAACTTTAAAAAAAATATAAAACTTACATTTTATATTGAAATTGTATACTTATTTACTTGTTGATATACATTTCTTTAACGTAAAAACAGTTTCAACTGTAATCAACAATTATAATTTATAAAAAGTCCATCTACGTATACTCATAGATTATTCTTATTTCTTACTTAAATTGGTTAAAAAAAATAGGTTAATGCACTAATATATATTAATTATTATAGTAAAAGTCAAGGTCATGTATTATTACGGAGTAATAATAAATATAGGTAATATAATATAATAATTATTTTTAAAATAATTTTATGTAGTAAAATTTGAACTCGCTTAATCATCATCAGATATATTTTTTTTAAAACATGGTACCAAATGTTAAGCTACAGCATATTATAAATATTTTTTTCATTAAAGTCTATTAAAAATAATAAAAATTTAATCAATTTAAAAATGTCCGTTTTAAATGTTAATATATGATAATATAAAATATTAATATGTGTTATTTTAAAAAAAATTAACACAACACATAATATGGCTTTAAATATAGTATTACTAATATAACATAAAATATGAAATAAGTATAAATAATTAGTAATATTGTAGGTATATTGTATGACCAATATCCGAATTCCAGATATTTATATCCGGATATTTGTTTACCTATTTTTAGTATTTTACCAGATTACATAGGATATTTCAAATTATATTTTTTATAGCCATAGTATTAGGCGTGTCCGTTAAAAGTAATTATTTTTAAATTTTAATCTTAAATTTGTATCCAACTAGAAAATGTTTACTATTATAATTTGATTACTGTTTAACTACAACTTGAGTTATTTTAAATGCGCTTAACAAATATAAAAAGTGAATTAAAAATTATTATTATATTATAATTAATTTTCGAATTTAATTGAAATATAATTATTATTAGTTTAACAATATGCTCCTATATGAAAGCAATTATAGAAGCCATCTATCAAATAATAATGTAATATATATTTAATTAATTTAATTTTGTAATTTGACATTAAACTGTAGCATAAAAAATACATTAAATACTAGTATTTTTTTAAAAACCGTTTAAAATATTTATAACATTTTAACTAAGAATAATTTGCCACTTTATTTGAACGAATGGAATGCCATCATTATTAATGAAGTTTTATTTCTAGTAAAAATTATGCTATGTGTATACTATATTTTACTTATCCTTACTACGCTATTTTGTGTTTTTTTTATTACTACAGTTTTTCAGTTTAATTTATTGTAAGTTACATACACACGTAAATTATAGACATTTGTATATATAATTCTGCTAATATAATAGTAGTATTATACATCTGACTATGTATCCTTTATAAGCTGTCTATCTGGTCATCTTAATTTTTTAAATTATAACTTATTGAACATCATAAATTATACTACACAATATACGGGTACAATAATTGTTTTATAGAGATCAAATATTTACATATGAATTTATTATTACATTGGGCTATTACAACTGTTATTACAGTTTATACGGGTACTTCTCGCAGACGTATCATAAAAATGTTGTAAAACTGTACAAATCATTAAAATATCAAGATTATGTAGACGCGGTTTTAAAAATAGAGTATTTATATGTTAATACATTTTCAATTAATTATTAAGCTATACAGTAACTAAAGTAGTTGTCCATCACGATCTATATAAAGAGTTGAAACAGAATTATAAATGAACCAGTTACAGTAGGTTTGTAATTTGTATTTATATCCTTTTAGACAGAAAATATTACAGTAGAATTTAAATACCTGAAAAAATATTTTTACAACATTTCAACTTTTTTGATACGCTTAATTTTTGCACAGTTAATAATTTTTATTTATTTATCGTAAAAATATCAATTGGACCACTTCTTATTATTCGAGTTTATATTTTTAAAATAAATCATAAATATATAATTAGGTATATTATATAATGCATCATGTCGAATAAAGATTTAAATAAAATTTAAACCATGCTATACTTAGTTCTTGATATTATCCATTAATACTCAGAATAAAATAATTAAAAGTTATAATATAATCATAGTAGTTTAGTTGTCTTGTTTAGTTGCATATGTCAAACACTCACTACGAGAAAAGTTCATCAAACAAAAATCAATTAAATAGTTATTTGTTTGATATATTTTAATATCTTTTTGTATATACCTACGTTATAAAAGTTATATGGTATAATTGCATGATTCGGCTTATTTTATTCGTGTATCATTATAATTTTGTGCTAGCCAGTTGCTCAGCAACTATTTATTTTATTATTCAATTTAATTAAATAACTTAATACAATAATAATAGAAACGAATTTATTTGCAACAGCTGTGGGTATCATAAAGGGTTTTTGATAACAGTAATAAAAACCAATGCCATATTGTTTCAAAATAACTAGGTATACATATTAAACACTAAACAATTAGAAAAAAGTCCCCGAGTAAATATATCAATCTAAAGAATATAGTAATAATTATAAATTTAATTCGTGAAGTGTTGATATATTTGTCAATTAGTATGTATTTCTTTTTTTTAGAGATTCAATACCTGGGCCGTTAACAGATGTACTAGATGGACTTAAAGTAAATGAAAATAAAAATGTACGCACAATGACAAGGCACGAGAGTATTGGTGGTCAAGATCCTGGAGTGGTTGGACCTATAGTTTGGGATTTACATTGTAAACAAATGAAAGTGAAAAGTAGTAAGTTTCAATGAAAAAAGTTGTACTTTGCATACACATAAAATAATTATCATGAATAGCATTTAACGTTGTTTAATATGATTAAATAACATTTTAAACAATTACAGATGAACAGGATGACGATTCGTGTTCAAGCTTTGACGCTTTCAACGCCATGGATACTAACGTCACAAAAATGCGACAAAAATTTCATGAATTACTTGACGATGCATTCACGTTGTTCGGTAGTCGAAACTCGAGTTTGAACAGCGACGAAAGTAACCCGTCGATAAGTAACCATGAACAGAGATCAAAATCAGCTCCATTTAGGTGAGTATATATGTGAACATACAAGGGTGGAAACAAAGTGGTTGAGCTATAGAAACTAAAGACCACTCCTTCCCTTGGATAGAAATCTAAAGATTCCTTTTCGATTAGATTATTAAAAGTACAAAACGGTGTAATACTTTATGAATTATGATCGCTAACAGTACCAATCACAAAAATGCATATATGTTAATGGCTTATCGATTTTTTTTAAATTATTTACCTATTAGACATTAGTATTATTAAAACTTGAGCATATACCGTTCAATACTACACACATTATACTAATATGTATTAATAATGAACGCATTTAGTTAAAATCATATCCTTTAGATCTGTACACCATTAAGTTAATCGCATTTAATTAAAACCACAAAATCATAAGTAATGAAATTAATTTAATAGAATACTTAAAAAAAACTAGAATGTACGTGTATTCCAATCTACATAATTTTCACACGATTTATCTTATCTTATAACATATTGCGTTATTTTTAATTAATATTAAAATTATTTAATCTCGTATATTAAATTATTTTTATGGCAGTTTGTTTATGTTCAGTCAATGTTTAATTTTTAACTATAAATCAAGTATGTGCGTTTTGAATTATCGATCTCCCAAATTTTCGTTTTTAACAATAGAAAATAGGTGCGGTTTCGAACGTCACCCATATTTGAAATTATTTAGATTTGTATATGATTTAAAATGTATTCTGACTATTTTATCTTCTTCACGAGAAAATTTTTTATTGGAAATTTTTCAGAAGATAATTTTTTCGATTACGTTCATGTATTTAAATTAAAGTTCGAAGTAATAGTTTCTGAGTTATAAAATGTTAATACTTATATGAATTTATGATAATAGTTTTTAGAATAAAAATATTATGTATTTATGTCTATTATCGTCTAGAATTACAATTTTCAAATTACCATCATCATAGCTTCCGTACCGTCCAAGCTCATTTTTCTTAGTGTTTCACTTGAAATTCAAAAAACTCAAAATACATTCGTCCGAATATCGATTTAGACGCATCGGCATTTTCGAAAAAGTAGTTTGCCCGACAACGGCGCACGTCTCTAATGGTATACACCACGGACGATCTAAGCGTCTGAAATCATGGCCCTGCACTATAGTGTATATAGGCACTTTACTCGTAAATGTTAAAAATCAGAACATCTGAATTGACCCGTCACTTAAAGGGTATGTGTAAACATATTGTGACGTGGTGACCTTCGAAATCGGCGAATTGCGCTGCACATGTGATAAGTAATACATAAAAAACAACAGGAATGATATTATGCACGCTATTGCATGCGTACACGAATACGGTGACTAATGGTTATGTAATACGACGTTTACCATTGCAGGTGTTCCGCCGCTTCCAGCGGACGTCCGACCGGCCGGCCAAAGACGTCGGCGGAGTCGAGCGGCCGGGCCGCGGACGACGACCAACACGCGGCGTCGGCGGCGGCGGTGTCGGCGACGAGCCCGTGCTGGGCGCTGTCGCCGGGCGAGGCGTGGGCCGGTTCGGACCAGTCTGTGTTCGTGCCGCGGCCGCTGAGCGCGGGCCCGTTCCACCGGCCGGCCGTGCGCGCCGAGTTCATCAGCTCGGACGCCAATCTGTCCCCCCAGGACCCCGCCGTGCCGCTCATCGAGGCCATACGAAAGGAACTGGACAGATTCCCTTCGCCGCACGCCGACTCGTCTCGGTGACTCATACCTATGTCATATTATACACACGCGCGCCCCGCCGCCGCGTACGATTCTGTGCCGATCAATTATTATTATTATTATTATTATTATTATCGCCTGTGCGCGCACGTACACAATATTATACTTGTTCGATGTGGATTAATCCGCTTCGACTGCACCCGTGCGACGAACCCCTCGTGTCGTCGCCGCCGCCACTGCCGCCACCACACGCAGAGACGATGATTCATCGCCGCTTGACGATCGATGATAATACGATTATTATTACCTATATGATTTCATATTATTATTATTATTATTATTATTGGCCTTGGACCTCCTTCGACAGTTTTACGCGGTGACGTATACGTGTAGCGTGTAATTTTTTTTTACCCCGTACTACGTGAACGCCTGTACGTTGGTTCCCGTCAATTACCAAATCGGTTCCCGGACAGTTTTCCGGTGACATACGAATCCGTTCCGAAAATCTTACGTTATGGATTACGAAACCGCGTCGAACTTGACTTTTTCAATCGTAACTGCGTAGTTCTATATTATAGATCTTCATGACTACATATAGACTTAAGCCCAGAACACTAGGCTGCGGGTCTAGCCGATCAAACGTGTTACTTAAGTCAGTCCATATAATACCTATATAGGTACAATATAAGAACGATTTATAAACTATATTTTCCGTATTTGTCGGAATAACGATAACATAGGTATGTAAAATAATTTGAACATAATTTAAATAAATATTGATAAAAAAATAACGTTGCTCACATTATTTACGAATTGTTCGAATAATTATAGTATAAGCTTGACATCGTTTGGCAGTCATTCAATTTTCACATCTGTTCGTCGATTGACTTTTCCGATTTCTGCTATTTTTCTTGAATTTAAGTGTGGTCTTTTTGTCTTTGGTCCGTTTCACATTGAATTTATTTTCAATAAAAAAAAAAACACATTTGAGCGGAGGAATAAAATTCTAAATCAAATTTTCCGTCTAACAATACGTAAATGTTTGTAATTTGTTTTGGAGTAAATAAAAATTCAGCTCACTTGTTTAATGGAAAATCACAACCATTACATCTATATTTACGCGATGGTATTCTTTTAATTTCAAAATCTATTTCTATTTTATTTTAAATAGGTGATTGCAGTAATAAATTCCAAATAGTTCTATTCTACTAACGGAGGTTCGCGAAGCTTACAACTTTACTATAATATTATACAATATATTTAGTTTAAAATATGTTGCAACAAACATAAATTATTCTAATTTCTAATGAAAAATATGGTCAACCCGACTCACTGGGTCAAGTAATTTCTATATAACGTAATATTATCGTTTGGCACTAACTTAATTTCAAACCAGTTTAAGTTTTATTTAGAAGTTTGCTTAAGTCAATAATAGTCGTGTTTTTTAAATTTGGTCACATTGCTCATTTGAATATAATAAATTAAATTTTTTTCAATTTAATTTTAGTTATTGAACTCTTGTTGTGCGCGTTTTAGCATAAGTTTAAACAAATCAAATACATATTTTTAAAAACTCTTCAAAAAATTTACCCATATACGCTAAGTACATTTATATAATGTAAATTTAAACGGAGTCAAGAGCAATAAAATTAGTATACATTTTAAATTATATGAAAATAATTTAAATTTTAAATATTAAAAAAATCAGCGATTCATCTGATTTCCTCATTTGCAAGTTTTATTTGACAAAATATAAGATGGATAGAGAGGAAGTTAAAAGAGGAGAAATCTTGTATAATTCATACATACGAAATGTGTTATGTAAAAAATTCCAATAGTATTAACATTTTAAAAGAACAATTCCAAGATTCGTATAAAAAATAGGTACCTATTAAAGAAACAATAATAATTATTATCATATAAAACTATTTTGTTATACTATAAATTAAACTTTTAATAATAGGTCAATCTATATGATAGGACAATTAAAAGCAAATAGATGATGCAAATTTGATCAACTAAGAAATGTTTTTTTTTTTTTTTAACATTTATTAAAAAATATACAATCTGTAATAGTAGTTACAATAAGCATATGGGCTGGATTATACATGTTGATTGTAAAAGCGTGAAGTGAGTAGTTGCCCAGCAGTAACACTCAACATGATATTTATTAAGCTATTTTACAATATAAGAAATGTAAAATGAATTGAGGGATAAATATGTCCTTTATCAGTATAAATCACTAAATATTTATTCATTTCAAACCCATGGTTTTGTTTAACCACTAAACCGTTTAATTATATTGTTTTTATTAATTTTATAACTTTTACTAATAAAATAACTGTATATAAATGTAATACTTTATACTTTTATCTACATGTATAATAAATAATAATAAATGTAATTTACACTTATGTCACACATTAAATCACACTGCACATGTATTGTCAGGAGAATAATCTCGACTCATCGTTCTCTTACAATCTATACTTTTGCAGTGGCTTGTTGCAAGAACGCTGATGTCAAAATCGTTTATTTTTGGAGAATAAATACCAAAACACTAATAAAAATAAAAAATATGCCCTTAAGTACATTCTACGTGCTTCAGCAGTACATAAATATATAAGGTTGTTAAAACATTAAAAATTATCTACAGATATTGGTGAGACATTTTTTTATAAGCTTTAATTTGAAAACGATATCAGTCTTTTTGCAATTAACCACAGATATATTCAACAATTCAACATTGTATATAAATTGTTTTTAATGTATAAATATAATTTAATGTATGTATATGTGCTCATTTATTATTTATGCGCGAATCGTTAACAAATTCCATTAAACTTTTTTCTTCGTATGTACAGTAGTTGTTGGACGCTCAGAATATCAAGCAAAAACTATACGTTTTTAATATTGTATAATCGTGCCTACAATCTATTCGTTGGTAATAAAGGCTATAACGCTCACGTGCCTAATATTTAAGTCTCTGTAATGTACTAATGCCCCATACTTTCATGTACCTACAAGTACAATGTATGATCATAAATTAATTAATTTAATGATATTATGCTGAAAACATTATAAATATTTATATTGTTTTTAAGCGAAGCGTGATCAATGATAAAATTAAAATGTTATATATTATAAATGTACACGTACACACATTATACATTTATGCATTTATATATACATGTGTAATTATAATAGGCATTTATAGACAATCATCAAATAATTCATAATCAAATACGTTGGTTTGTAATCGAAATTATATTTTTGTCTAAAATTCTGTAATGTCTTGTGTTATATGGATTTTATTTTGAATATAGATTTTTAACTTTAATCTATATTTATATAATATAATTTGTAATACAATTTTAATATTATGTGCTTGATTTTACTATTTCTGTAAATATTAAATAAACATTAATGTACGTTAAAAATTTACTGTAGTATGAACTATGTAATGTGACAATATGCTTAATAAAGGAGCGATTATAAAATAAAACAATACAGCCCAAAAATTATGTACCTACATAAATTTGCTACCTTATAAGTTGTTACTCCTTGAAATAAAAAATGACAATACAATAATTTGATGTAATATAAACGAATATTTTACTTATTTAATTTAATTTTTTTATACATTTAGAAAATTATTAATTTAATTCAAAACTTATATGTTATATAATATTATAGTCGTGTGATAAAAAAAAAAAGGTGAATAAATTGTACTGATTGTACTGAACCAGTTTAATAGTAGATAGAGAATACTTATGAAATGCTAATCGATTTGAATACAAAAATGCAACTCTATGATTGTGATTTATTATTAATATAAATTTAAACTTTTATTTTAATTTAATGCATACGTGTAATAATATCGACGTTACGCATACAATATTGAACATAGTAATTCATTTAAAATATTAGATATGATTAATGTTTATAAACTCGTCCGTATACGTAAATTCTATTGTAGTGCCCATTCTTTGTAAAACATACGCAGTGACGAGGTAAACTCGATAATAATAAAAAATTGTTTACGATATTTTATCCAACAACATCTATAGGTAGGTACCTTTTTTATCTACCCTTTTTACAAACGACAGGCACATTCGTTATTATGATGCTTTATAAATGTATTTCAAAATAATCAAATCTGTTGTTTAAATGACAAATTAAATACCATGTTAATATGAATAACAATTATTATTTACAAAAGGTAGTACTTACCTAACCAGGTTAACCATATGGAATGAAATAATAATAAATAATAATATACATGATAATAAATTAATATGAATGTACGTAAGAATGTAAGATACTATACAGTTAAACAAATAAAATTAATTACAACTATGTACAAAGAGAATTGCAATATGGAATAAAGAAGTATGTTTTTACAGAAATCATGAGGATTATTTAAATAACAATTATACGGTAACAATAAATAAATAATAAGAGTAAACTATTTGAAGTCGAATCTCTATTAAACTGTGATACCGTGGTTGTCTTTGCCGGCAAATATTCGGTGACGTTCTAAATATGTATTCGACAGCGGTATAAGCTCAACTGATTTTAAACATGTATCTATACAACCATAAAACAGCGACATTAGTGGACAAGTAATCAGTAATCATTAACCGCAATATTTTCTATCGGTCAGTTTTGAAATACGGAAAACCCGACAATGCTCGACATAATATTCAGGTGTTTGTTCAATTCACAATCAAAATGTTTTTTCATTGTAACCCGTGAAAAAATCGTTGTGGAACGAACGTGTCAATTCGCAAACATCAATACTTCTGAATTTCAGATACATTTCTTCCGTCTTCCAAAGATCACGTGAGTTGAGTGCATATTTTCATCCCTATTCTGATAAAAATTAAGATTTTTTAATTTTTTTTTACAAATTTAATGTAATTTGTGTTACTTTATACATGAACTATACGGAGTACGTACAAAAACCTGATCAAATGTGGTACTTTAGGTACTTATATCAATATATGTTTGTGTAATCACTTAACAGTTATCAGCTGCTTCAAACGGTATCTATACGTTTTCCCTGAAGTAGTGTTAACATCGATCCAAGACATAAAATTTATATAATCGATGTTAATTTACTGGAACTGTTTGAATATGTAAGAAAAACGTACCTTAAAACCTAGGCATATGCCATATATTATACTACATACTTACTATGTATAAAACCTTGTTATTTACGTCTAATTCTGTTCCCGCCAATTCGCTGTATTATATGATTATTTTTAAAATAATAGCCTTTCTCATTAAATATTCCTGGTAATGGTCAGTGCTCACTGGGTTTCGCTTCGCTTATGCCTTATATTCATTTAACGAATTCCCGCTAGGTACACGTATATAATAATATTATGCTCTCAAACGATAATCGTTTTCTGCTTGTTATCCAATATCTATGCAGGGCTGTATTTAAAGTTTTGAGATCCCTGGATATATAATTTATATCACCTCTTCTCATAATTAACAAAATTAATATTATATTAATATGGTATATCTATAATAGAGATTCTTTAATATTTTCTATATATTTAATATTTATAATAATATGTATTTAATATTAAATCTAGAAAATATTATCAATTGAAATAAACAAAGTTAAAATCCTTTTTTAATTTACAAATTAATATAATCAAACACATAATTTTTTTTTAAATGTAATTTTTTCCTTGCTTGATTATTGTTAAAATCTTCAATTATGTTTAAATATTTTGCATGTGTTCATCCGTGCCGTCCCTAAATACGGGTCTGAATCTATGGTTATTGTTTTTATTAATTTATTAAATAATGTAATTTCAGCTTATTTTTTTTTTATATATTATATATTTATACATGATTGTAAAACGAATGAATGCTGAATGCACTCATAATTCATAATATGTATCTATAAGTACTAATTCAATAATAATCAATATCGAAAATATTTAATAATGTTGCCAATTTTAATGTTTACTTATATAACGTGCAGAAGACATCTAAAGTGAAAACAATTTTTATTTAAGTTTCTCCTGTTCTATCATTAAACAGGTTGATAAAAAATACGCATTTTTAAATTCATACAGCAGTTGCACAACATTTTATCGTAGATACAAATAGTAACGTCTTTTACCGGTTTTAATTTTTATAAAATTTGAAATTTATTATTTATGAAAATTGAATACACTAGTAGGTACAAGGCTATGTATGTGTTAATAATTGAGTAATATTATTTAAATGCGTAACAATTGAGTAGGTATCTATTTTATGTATTATAAGCACATTTTTCTAGAACTAGGTGTGTATTAGAAAAATTCCACCCGTGAGCCCTATACAGTTACACTGCAGTTCATAGCTGCAAATTACAATACAAAACCGTTCAAAAGTAATGATTTACCTACTCGTGATATAAACGATATATCACATGCATGACGTATACGGTATACAAACATAATATTATAACAAAAATTCGTGTCCTAAATACAATTCACAGCGACCGAAATGTATTGTGCGGTTACGTACGACTGACACGCACACCAGGAGTAGGTACCATACACGTGTGCGACTTACACGAAGGGAACTTAAGTAATATTATTTTTTGATTATAATTAATGGGACGCAACAACGAAGATTTATTTCGCGGCGGACGTCGTACGGTCGAAGACGACGATGTCATCGCAAACCGCAAAACCGGATACGTGCGCCCAGTCTATACACTATAATACCTAAATACACACGCACCGTGTGACTTACCGTCAACGGCTGGCATGTATTACACAGTACACACACATAACGGGCGTGCGTACGACCGGATGCAGACGTCATGTGTTTTGTCATCTCCCCGAATGCACACGGATAGAGAAGGCGACCCATTGTAGTCGGTTTATATACTTCTTTAACTTATACGTTTATTATTATTTTCACAAACGTGCACTGCACGTGTATATACACCTAGTATATACTATATACGCCGCGTCCGCACTTCCTCCTTTGACGTAAAAAATAAAAATAAAAATGATAAAATACGGGCGTGAAGGTGTTTTTTCTTTTGTGTACACACGTTGAGCGATGAGCCTCGCACGCCGCGTACCCGCTGCTGCTTCTCCTTTTTCTTATAGCCTATACTCGCGGAAACGCATCCGACCCTCGATTAACAACACACACATACACACATGTATAACACTGTTTTTTATCTTCTTCACAAACGCAACTAGTGAGTCACACGGTCACGCGATCGGAAAAAAACGTCAGTACAGCAACTAATTTTAGGCGGGAAAATTACTCTCTCTAGGGAAACGTCTTCGACGATAGTACAACGTATTGTAATAATGTATTTAACAAAACGAACAATTAAAAACACAAAATTTTTTTAATATATTTTGTCGTCAAACACCAACGTATGTAATATATAATATAATTTTCAATGACACTTTCCGCGTGTTATATTGTTTTTCTACACACTACTTTCTATAAATATATACTACTTACAATCTAAATATATCATCATTAATATCGATCTAAGTTTTAATAATAATTTAAATAATTAAAAATAATAATAGTAATAATAATAGTTATTGTGTCACAAACACAAATCAGTGTTCATGTCTTATAAAAAATGTCTATTATGGCCGTATATGATATTAATACATCAAGCAAATAACCATATAAAATAATAATAGTTCTATATAAATATATGCATATTAAAATCGCTAATTCATTAATTAGAAAAAAAATATAATATATAATAATTAAATAATAATAATAATAATAATATTTGTAAATAAATATATAATAATCTCATTAATAATATAATGTATAATATACATTACTTTAATAACGCATAAATATTTTTTTTTCACCGTAACAAATTGGACTAGCATTTATATTGCATATAATATTTCTTTAACAGCTAATATATATATATAGTCATATATAGCTGCAATTGAGTATCTGGTGATGAATACATTTTAAAAGAGAAAAAAAGGGGTATATGTGTTTAAAAAAATTATATAAATTAAATATATATATATATGTAAAGTCTTAGCGTTTTCGGCCTAACGATGACAGTACATGAAGACCAGACGATAAAAAAAAAAAAAAAAGAGTACAACGTAATAAAATTAAATGATTTTACGATTATTATTTGAATATATAGTTGAGCCGAGTTGTTTGTTATAGTTTTATTGACCTCTTCTATCTAAGTTCGTGTAGATGCAGGGAGTAAATAATTATTACGTACGTTGTTATACACACACACTACTGAGGACGATAATTAAGTTGTAAAAATATTCATGTATCGAATGTGATTCCTTTTTTTTTCTTAATCTCGCATTAATATAACATAATATTTTATTTACATGCAAACTCAAGCATCACAATATGTTTAATAGTGTTGGTGTAAAACTTTAACAACAATACGTAAATAATATTATATGATAAAAATAAAAATAATATGTGTATTGTTACAATAAATTACGTTGTGAACCCGTAGTAAGCGTCATGTTTTAATAAGTTTAAATAATATTATTATAGGTAGTAAAATATAAAAGGTACAAAGTGGTCGTTGGCAAATGCGAAACGACCATACGCCACAAAAACTTTGAACGGAACGAAAATGAAATAAAAAATTAATAACCCGATTATACACCCAAAAACCTTAATTATGCGCGGATTTCGTGTAACAAATAAGACGATTCATAACGTAGACAGACGTAGAAGAAAACGAACAAATGGTCTTTTCTGTAAAGTTGTACGAGTTGGGGGGCTAGAGATCGTTGCAATTTAGGTACAATGCTACACAATATATTATAATATCGATTACGATTTATAATACGTCCCCCGTCCCGTACATAGTTGGTCAATTTCGTAGTCAATTTCTTTCGTCGTCGGGTGGTTGATTGAAACTATTGTTCTTTTGCTGGTAATAGTGATGATGGTGCTGCTGCTGCTGCTGTTGTTGTTGCTGTTGGTAGTAGTAGTTGCGATTATCGGCTTTCAAATTTTTTGTACTATGTTCTGAAATCAAAAATCACATTACATTTACTTAAAAACAACAATTTATTTTTAGCATATGTTATGGGTACAATTTGTAATGTATGTAAGTGAGGAGTGGAATATACACGAAATAATTTTGCTATTACGCCTATAACATAATAACCTGCACTCTTTTTACAGAATTTTGTACAAACAGATGGTTTGTTATTTTTTAAATTTAATTGAACAGTAATTAAAAAATATACCGCGACGGATCAATACATTCGATAAATTTCGGATAAAAATATAATTATAATATGCACGCTTCATTGTTTGGGTTTAGAGTTTCAATTGATCTAACAAATCAGAGTAATTTATAATTTATATTTTTAAAACAAATTATTTAGTTCAATGGAGCACTGATGTGAACTGCGTACGATTATTCTTTTTATAATTAAATAATTTACATGCCACGCGCGCGTTAGAAGAACGTTATTTATGCTCGGCGTTTATAATTTCCGGACTTCACCTCAGAAGACAATAAACCGATTTGCCGTCAGACACGGTTTTGAAATTATTATTAATAAATAATAGGAAATAAGATTTGATTATTTGCGAATGATAAATACGTGCACTTTATACTTTTGGACTTAGAACACTGCCGAAATCTAGTTGTGCAGTTGAATAATAGCGAGGCGACAACGGCGAATCAAGGTTAATATTTTAACCGCTTTATAAACGCGAACGAAAAATAAATAAATATGTACTCAATTACCGCGTCTAAATTTACGGCTCTGTTTAATTTTTTTTAAACAGCGGATGATGAAAAATCAGAGTTTAAGTCATTTATGTTTTAGCCGTAATAGGGATATATTATAATATAGTTTATGACTTGATATTTGTAATATGATGAGTAATTGTCAAAATATATACATATATAGTTGGTATTATCAATAGATCTTATATTGTCGTTATGCAGAATAATTCACGATGATATAATAATATATAGTAAAATATAATATATCATTGAGCGGATGACAACAGTTGCGTAACGCATTAGTCGGGCCTATATATAATAGTTTATCGTATTATTATTATAATTAATTTTGTATAAACATTCATTGGGTACCGTAAGTTACAACATATTATTTAAACGCCAGCGGAATCATCGATAAACCACAAAATTAGCGATTTCCGTGTTAGGGCACGCCGTTAGATCATTTTAGACAACTTAAACCTTGACATTACAATATTTGGAACGTATGCTCGTGCGATTTAAACATCAGAACGATCTGATGTATTTACGATACATGTTTACGGCGATTCCCCGTTATTGAAATATCACGTACTTTGGACTTGGAACGTTTTACCAGTCCATCGATATTAATATATAGTAATAAATTATATGATATATTTTTATGTAGGAAATATTTTTTTTTCTCCAATGATACGTATATTATAATATTATTAAGTTATTATATATATATATGGGTATGCTTATGCATATATAGGTTTATCTCTGCTCTTTTTCGATAAGAAGTTATTATAATTGTACAACGTTATTATAATAATGCGTATAATAATAATAATAATAATAATAATAATAATAATAATATGTAAAACCGTATTTACGTTTATAGATAATATGGAGAGAAAAAATGTGCGTGATATGTTGTTACAAGAGTTATTGTTATTATGATGCACACGACTTGTTGACGTTTTGAACGTTACAAAGACTTTTTTTTTAAATACTTTAAAAATAATATACTGTATACATAATATCACTTTTTTAACATTCAGTTAGATGTTATAATAATAATGTTAGAGAAAAAACACAATTATTTACATTCGATTATTATTATTATTATTATATTAACAAAGTTATAAAATGACTATCATAAATTTACTTTCCAAGTGGCGGAACCTCTGCATAGTAAAAAATTAAACTGTCTAAATTTATTATACATTTAATATTTATAGTCACAATAATAATAATATATTGAATAAATTATTTATTTTACGGAAAATTGAAACTTTTCACTGATGCCTAAAGAAATTGTTAAAAAAAATAAAACACGTCAAAACGTTAATATTTAAATTGTATACACGACTAATAAAAAAAAACCTTTAACGGCTCTGATATGTAGATATGTTAAATTTAAACAGTGAAACAAACACTTGTATGTTATATCGGTATATAGGTGCATAGTACAGTTAGGTTAGTTATATACTTATATAGAACCCGGGACATGAAGTCAACTTATACATGTATAAAACTATAAATTATTCATCGATATCATATATCTATACTATAATATTATTTTATACATAATTGCATAATGTTTTTACAGTCGTCAAAAATGATCTATAAAGTGTAAGTATATAGGTACATATTAAGTTATAACTAAAAGTTATAAGTAGGTATTATTACACAGAGGTGGTAACGTTAATCACTCTTTCAATATTACAAGTGTTAGATACAACAATTGATTATGTTGTTGCAATCCTGTTTTAATAAAAACAAGAGCAGCAAAAACTAACAAAATCGATCGTCTCGTTTTAAAAATCTACGAAGAATTTCAAATGTCGAATTCATTACAACAGACTAAGATTTCCGCGATCTGCTGCAATCAACTGCGTGGAGTATGGAAAATTTACTACAGGAGTATGGGACGGACAGATAAAACAATTTAAAATTTAATAAATTACATGAGATCGATGTATCGTCAAGCGCATTTTATTAAACAACCCCGAAGACTTTAACACTCAAACACAATCCCTGCAATACAACTTGCAAAGCTATGAGGACAAACCATTGATGTTTAACGCTCATTATATAGCCCATATAGGTACTTGTAATATACATAAATATTTATTGGATTAGGTTAGTGTATAAAAATTATATTGTTTCGCGATATAACACGCGTGTAATCTTATTGTACGAAACTGAACGGACAAGAGGTTTAAAAATATAACTTAACGGAAATATGAAAAACTATACGCGTGTGTAATGTAACAGGAATCGCAAAGATGATCTAATCCTAATGACGCGTGTTCTGCGGTGAGCACATCCGCAAACGCAGGAAACACTCTTTACATTATATATCATGATATATATGTGCAGTGCACGCGTAACATACGACGGAAAAGAAACGGTGGGCGAGAAAAAAAATCTACTCGTTTTTAACGTCCTCCGCGGCAGCAGCAGCTGCTCGACTGCAAATTAACCACCTGTTGTACGATATGTGCGCGTGTGTGTGTGTGTATACGTTCACCATCTGCAATTTTTTTTCTTCAACTAAATCCTTGTGAGAAGGATATGGATGTTTACTTATTTTTTTTTTTTTAATCTTTTGTCCTCTGTGGCAACAGGTTATATGCGCGAGTGTGTGTATATTTTATCTAATACACACACACACTGCACTTGCAGTATACACTGTTAGGGAACGACATGCATTTAGCTATTGTGTTTCTGAACGAAACGCATAAACGGGGATGGATATATACATCAATTCGCAGACGTGGTACGTCTCGCTGGTATGGGACAGTTAAAATAAAATAGCCTCGCAAACACTTTTCCCCTCACCACCAACCCTCTCAGGAGGTTCACGATTTGTTTTTTTCCTTGGAGTAATCGCATCACGTTTTACATTGGCTCATAATAAAATATAATATGATATGATATGTATATCATAAACATATTATATTACACCCAAGTACCCAACGGATTATAGAGACGTTAAATGATATATTATATCTACCGAATCCGCAGAAAGGAAACTGGAGCAGTTGTACGCAGCATTGGCGTTCGGAGCAACAACAAAACGTTTATCTGTGACCTAGACCTTTGCAACGGCTATAACCTTTTGTCTATCTTTTTTTTCTTGTTTCGTCCGGCCAATAAGAGAAGAAACTGCGGTAACCGTTCAAACGCGATTGTGTGTGAAGACAAAAGAAAACCCATCGAAACGAATGATTCGGCATTCAGGTCTGGCGGTCCGTGTTTTCTCGTATCCTACTCTTATTGTTGTTGGCACACATCATATTACACGATTGCCAGCGATTATCGACAATATCGATTGCGTTACAGGAGACGATGAGAATATTTGTTATATTACCATAACTAATGCACGTCGTACGACGCGTACATTAGATGATTTCGGGTGCATGAGTAGGAAGAATTGCGCGTGTAAAGCGGTATAATTATGTGGAGAATAAAAACACCATGGAAATTCAGTGCGCCAGAAATCAGAACGATAATATTATCAAAATATGGTCGTGGAGAAAGAGCACAGCGAAAACTATAATAATATAAATTATAATATATATATTACGTGCTCACGCAAGTCGTAATGTGCGGCGGTCGGTCGAAATTTTAACGTTTTATTGTAATATGATATTATGATGGTGGTGTGCACGGTGACAAAACGTTGTAATATGGGTGAGAGGATGGCGGAGCGCGGAAACGAACGTTTTCTAGAACAAGCTACAAAGACCGCGGTTCTAAACGGGCCATTATGTTGTATTATTGTTTTTCAAGGTTAAACGACCAATTATTATTTTGTCTATGATAAAAAAAAAGTAACAATAACACACAACAGACCGATAGGTCGTCGTCGTCGACCGTCCGATTCCGAGAACCCAAATCGGATTGTTTATCTGGAAAACGACAACGTGTTAACAACCGGATAAAAAAAAAAAAAAAAAAACGTATCATTGTGAAAAAAAAATTGTACATTATACAAGTATAACACGAGCATAATTAATATTAGTATAATATACTATTACAATACATGTAAAATATAAATATATATATTAGACGTAAAAACTAATAATAATCGGCGGAGAACGGCCACGGCTACTGCAGATAACGACAACGACGACGCGCAAACGGAATAATAAAAAATATGTTATCATGTGCGCGTTGCAACACCACGTCAAGTCGCGTACGCGAAGAGAAGAGAGAACTGCTCGATAACAGTATCACATAATAATAGTTATAATATTATCGTAAAATAATAAAATAACGTACGTTATTATTTTATACACTATGTACATTATTATAATAATATTATAATGGCAGTCGTGCGCGATACGAGGAAATCCGCCGCTGATCGAGTATTCCGATTGCGCTGAAACCCAACAGTTGGTTTCGTCACCGCGACGCAGCCATAGTATAATATTCATAATCATTATTAGTTTGCACACATTGGTAAAGAGCGCATATTAACATGATAAATGATAATGTTTTTATATTATTTTCGTTTTCCATAAAACGTAAACCGGTTGACGTTTTTTTTCGCATCTCGTCGAACAGAATGAAAAAAAAAAAATTCGAAATTCGTAAAATTAAAACGATAATTCAAACATGCGAGCGCGCACGCGCTCCGTCACTCACTCTCTCTCTCTCTCTCTCTCTTGTACTCGCTGTAATATAGACGAGACGGTGCGCGCGGGACACGGCGAGGGAGGCGTAGGTCGGCGGCAGGTAGGAAAAAAAACTCGTAGCAAATAATAGTAATAATCATAATACGTTTTATTATTATGAGCTGCGTCGATCGGGTAGAGAAGAGGTGTATACGCGACGACCGATCATAAAACATAATAATATTCTACGCGAGCGTACGTCGAGTTTTTCCCGCCCAATTTATATTTACGAGCGCGCGCGCACCGACGAAACGGTAGCTGCCGTGTCGCTCGCTGGCGCATTATTAAACGGCCTTGGCGGAGACATTCTCCGCACGCGGCCGCGTGTGATATCGGCGACGGGACAGGGACACACAGCTCTGTCGATTTGTGTTTTTTGGCCGCGCGCCGTCTAAAACCCGTTTCAGTGTACCTACGATTGTTTTTTTCTCCACATTTTTTCCCTTTCGTCGTCCGCGGACGACGCTTTATATTCCTTCGACATCTCGCCGTTGTTATAATATTGGCGTTCGGTGTTTTACGCGGAGCGCGTGCTACGGACACGTTTCCCGCCAATTTTTTGTCACCGCGTAAGACGTTCCATTCGCTTTCGCGCCGAATCGATAATTTATACATATATATATATATATATCATTCGTGATCACTACCCCGCCAGTGACGGCGACCTTGAATTTCTCTCTGTTCGCCGTACAAGTCGTTCGGGTTTTTTTTTTCGAAAAACGCAACACACATGCATCGCGGACACACGTTATGTGAACAGTGTGCGTGCTTTTTATAATGTTATTCCGGTGACTCGGACACGAGGAAACCCATCGGGGTGTACGATAAAAATGACGATGGCATATATGTATTGTTGTATGTATATAGAAATGGATTTAGGAGAGAAAAAACTCCAGCCGTCCGTTTACGGACACGATGACACGTCGTCTCGTCGCCGTATGTTTTTTCGAAAAAAATACCGGTTTTCAAAAGTGTCACGTTCGATTTCGGCCGAGCGCGAAGAATAAAAAACGCGCGCTATTATACCGGTCGTATATTATATCGATCGTCGTTGTACGCGCGGCGCACGTCTCGTGCATTTTAAAATTTCAACCGACCCTCGCCCCCGCTGCACCCCCGACCGTCATGCCGACACCGACCTACCGACACACACATTATTATACCTAACCTAAAATCATAAAAAAGGATTTTTTTTTTACTTCGATCCCGACGGAGATCGTATTGTATACAACATGTATAATTTATAATATAATATATTATCATGTCGGATTACCGAGCCGGGCAGATGTAGCAGGGCGACTACTGTAGAGGTTTTGGCGGCAAAATACGCGCGTACGCCTTACAGTCCTTATACACGCTACCACCGATGTACGGCGTACGCGGACTTGCCGCGGGGCCGACGCCCGTGGTTCGTTCAGACGAGTACAACCGCAATCTCCCTCCATTTTTATAACAATTTTTTTTCCGACCTGTCGTTTCCAACTTCAACCATACACACGACTCGATGCGCTTTGCGAGTGTGATTTATTGATAATTTATTATTATATTTTGTGGTTATTGAGATTATTATGCCGTCAAAAGTTCACCTCGCGCGTGCTCGCACACACACACACACGCAATCGGATGTAATACTCCAGTAAAATACTTTTAAAATTAATAACAAAAATGACATTAGAATCGACGTCGCGATACGTGTGTTAACCGTTTATTGGGCTGTTTATGTAGTACGACGACAACGACACCTAACCTCGCGACTCCGTAACGAGAGCTTTTTATTTACACACATACTACCTATAGTCTGAGCACAAAAAATAAACCACTATACGATCCGACACGAACGAGATCCCAAAACGGTTTTTGGAGGGACAAGAACGACATGCAGCAACAGGTGTGTAGGGACCGAGAGCACGTGTTTGGTGGAGCGGCCGAACCGATGATAAATATTTTTTGTCGTTGTAAACATTCAATTGTTAATTAAATCGTTTTGTAATCCGCAGCGACTGATCGCAACGATTAATAATTATAAAAAATTCGTTTGTTCGTGTCTACTAAAATGCACACGAAATCGAAAAAACCACCGAACGGCTACGGCGGGTGGATGAACGAGTCGTGATCAATATGTATTTTATCATTGTCGATCGATACGATATTTTGTGTCACGAATAATAAGCATCATCTCATAAAATACACATTAAAAATAAAACCGCGCGCCTTTCGTCGACGACGGGTCCCGTCGAGCACGATCCGATTTTTCCCGCGCATTTGGCTATCCGCCCGAACGATCGGGAAAATAACGGACCGCGCTTACGCGCGCCCATAACTCGGCGCAAACAACTGATACGCGCCAACGTTTATAGCTCCGATCGCGCGGCGGCCATATTATCGCGCCAACCATTGCAGTGCCCAACGGCCGTCTACTTACCGTTGTTGTAATGGTGATGCGACGACGTCGGCGGCGATTTGATCAGTCCCGCGAAGAAGTTGCGCCGCTCGCTCGGCGACATGCCCACCGGCTCGTACCGGGCCGCGAACTCGATCCGCTTCCGTTCCATTTCCGCCTCGTTGCGCATGATCACCATGAGATGGGCCCGCTTCTCGGGCGGCCCGAATATGCACCGGACAGCCGACGCCCGCTGTCCGTTGCGCTGTCTCAGCCATCGTTCGGCCGCCGACTTCTTACCGTTTCCGTTGACGTCCGACAACACCATGGCCGAAAGTCTGTGTGCTTGGTTGTTTTGTGCTGCTTACCTGCGCCCCGGTGACGACGACGAAGTCCGCGCGTTAATGTGTTTCGTGTGCCGGTGGATGGACGGCGGCGGCGACAGCAGCAAAAAACTTCGGTTTGAAAATATTTATTTCAAAAGAACAAAAAAAAAAATGTGAGTTGTTCGGTTTTCGCGCGGACTGGGACGGCGAGACGGCGGCTGCTGCTCGACGGTCGTTGATGATTTTGAATTTGAAATTCGGTCGGTTGGATAACGGTCGCGCGCGCGGTCGACTGTGTCGATCGTTCCCGGGGGCGGACCGGCGGGGCAGGCGGCCGGCGCACAGTGTTGCCCCGACCGGTTTTGCGCGGGAAATCGACGACCGACACGCGCTCTGCAGGCGTCGTGCACACCACCACCGCACCGTAACTGTTCGCCGACCGCGTCACAGCACTATAATAAAATATACTGTGACAGTACAATTATTACTATTACTACTACACTAATACTACTACTAATACTACTACTACTACTACTACTACTACTACTACTATTACTACTACTACGTCTACTATTACTACTACTACTTCTACCGTACTGTTACCTACGATGCATTTTCGCGGGTTGCAGTCATTGTCGAGTTTTGCATTCACCGCCGCGAGATCAGTCACTACATATTAGTTATAATAATAATAATATAATATATTATACGACGGCCGTTAAAGATGTGACGCATTTTGAGACGTTGTCAGGTCGCAATTTCCGTTCACCTTTTGGTCGTTTTTGTTTTCATCGTCATCGTCCATTATTGATATTGTTGTAATTATTATTATTATTAATATTATTTTTATTTCTCTATTCACTTTACAACATACAGTATTGCAATAAAATAAAAAATAAATTCTCCATTATGTGTCTAGACTTTCGGAGGGTAGTGGATATACGATGACACGAATCGTGTGTAGTCTATTAACATATAAATTATTCCTTTAAGATTTCTGTCGGTGTACCCATCTAATCTAATCCCAGTGTATGGGTAAACACGTTTATACAAAACCTTAATCTGGATTTTAAATATTACTCTGCAAACGGTTTTCGTGTTTAGTGTCATCCTCACGATCAATAAATAATAAATATATAATATTATCACGTCATTCTTGTCATTCTATGTTCTGAAAATTTTTTATTTCTTTTCACAAAATGTCTTGGATAATCGGTTTAATTGCGGTCTAATACCAATCCACTGCAATATGTCATAACCATTATATTGTATGATGTTTGAATGTATTTATAATTTATGCAGATTACACGCAAATAGAATTTTATTATATTTAAAAATTTATCACACGAGAGTTTAGGTGTAGTTGTGCATATACCGTACAGTGTATACATATAGAAGTCGGTATATCTTCTACATAATATTTATAAAATAACATTTTTAACGGACTAATTCATTATTACCTAGCCAGAACCGCTGAACCTATGAGTATAGAATTTGGTCAGTAGTTTTATTTTATGGCGTGAAGATCCACTAAGAAAGGATTTTCCAAAATTCATTCGAGGAAGTTAAAAGCTGTAAAAAGGGATATTAATGGAAAGAGTTATTTCTTAGTCGGTTATTTTTTTGAATTATAAATTTACGCTATTGCATACATACTCTATAATAATAAACATTATAATAATATATAATTTTAGATCTGTATTTTATAATTGAACACTCAAATTATTGATAAAAGTGTGTGTAGGTTTCATTTAACAGAGTTTATAAGACAGAGTGAATCGATTGGCATACATTATTTAATTTGTCACAGGTAATGTATAGCACGGGATCTTCTAAATATAATATATGTATGAAAGACACCTACTGACTAAATTCGATCGAACTTCTTTAAAATTATTGTATGATCATATTGTTTAAAATTATAATTTGAAACGATAGTGTTATTTTAAAAACGTTTTTACGAATAATTTGTACAAATCGCTGTTTAAAGAGAGGGACGGTGAATTGTTTAAGTCTTAGGTATTTAGGGTAAACGCTATATGATATAAATGATATAATAGGACAGCCCTACAATGACCGTATTTATACTACACTACAACTATTACAAATCGGTCGTTTTGCAATAACGCATCGGTCGTATATATAGGTGTTAACTACACAATAAATGATTAAAATTTAAATTCACTGCGGCAACATTATTGTTGTACAAGACGCCGCGGTGCGGGTAATATGCATAACGCTACTACTATATATTTTTATTATAATAATAATTTATGACACGTGTTTTCTTGTTCGGTCTCTATCGCGGCGTTCGTCGGTGAATCACGAGTGTACAAGAGTAACGCGATGCCGCCGTAACATAATAAGTCGTACTTACCCGCGTAATACAATCATACTGTGAAAATTGTACACCATCAAATACCTATACATATATATTATTAATATTATACTTACGTTCGAGACTCTGTAGAGTGTGGTTTGATACCACCATAGATCCCGTGATAGATATAGGTCGAGACTTATTATATTTCAATAATTCAATATAAAATAAAATTTTAACATTTTCCCCAATCGTAATTCGATTAATCCCTAACACAGACATATTGAATTCAAGTTATTTACAAATTCAATTGAATAATTGTATAAGTTAGCAAATGGTCGATAATATATACACGCATTTTAACCGAATTTAATGTATTAAATATATTTTTAAAATCTCAATTTTGTTTCTCTAGTAGAACTTTATAGTAGGTATCGTAATTGTTAAATTTTAGATAAATATATATATTCTTGTTTCTTGGTACCTTACAGTCTTTAATGAAAAAGGTTTCATCTTAGTAGAGATCAGTGCTGGATTTCCTATTTTATCAATATTTTACTATGTAAGTTATTTAACTCTAGCAATAAAGAATAATTATACGTACATTATTTTCTTAGATTCGTTTTATTTGTATCAATTACGTCATGATTCCACCCCGTCATAGATTTAATCTGCAGATGCAGACGGGCGCCCATGTTTATTGCTGTTACACCTGGACCTAACCTATACGCGCACCTATATATAAATATTATTTTCGTGTATAACAATTATTAAAAATTAATCGTTCGTAGATCTCATAAATCTCATTCAGTGTAAAAAGATTATATGACCGTGGGCGTAAACAAATATATAGGTAACCGCAGGCTGCTACAGGATATAATAATCCAGGTGCAGGAACCCGTGGTCGATCATATATCAGTTTGGTTCTCGCGACTATCACAATTCCTCTGGTTATAAGTACAGTGGTAAATTTATTTAAAATTATATTTATATATATTTAAATGTAATGATTTTTTTAAACGTACCTACTTAAGACTCATTATTTCAAAAAAAAAAAAACAACGTATTTAAAAAATATTATATTTTATCGTTATTCAAAGCTTATTTTTTAAGTGATAAGGTAGGAACATTTTTAATTTTATATTCCGAAACAGAATATTTTTCAGAAAATCAGAAAATTTACTAAAAATCGAAATTCTAACGGTTTTATACTCGTATTGTTTAAGATGTGGATGTCAGTAGAATAGTAAACCAAGATTTTTACACATCAAATTACTTAGGAAATATGCTGCTTAGGAATAAAAAATTAAAATTATATAATGTTTTCAATCAGAAAATGTTGTAATGACTTCAATTTATGTAAAAAAAATATTTAAAAAACATTTATAGTTTTCGAACTAATGAATATTAATGTATGTGGTATATTTTATGTTAAAATAATTATATGCTGTGGTCTAAATATAATTACGTAATTAAATTGTTGCATACTTTCCGTTACCTACATGTATGAGATTGAAACCATCATTATGATGTACAATTATATTTTATGAAAAAATTAAAAATTAAAATATGGAATGGTTATTATGACTATACAATTATTTTAGAAAAACCATACAACTAAAATCGAGTAATTATATTATCATATATATAGTCATATTACTGTTTCAACGAATCGTAGCTTATTATAATTTGTATAATATTCATTATTTACTGGTTTACTGCCACTCGACAACCATCATAATATATTGTATACAATTTATAACAATAAAAATTAATTTAAAACACATTAACGTATCGTAGTATATTATAATATAATGGTATATGATATACTGAAGGATACCGCGGAAGTACACGTGCAGGCTAAATAAGTATAGTAGTTGGGGCTTTTTAAGACTATCCGGGACAGGATGATTGAGGTAGCGGGGTAACGACTGCTGCAGATGGAGTTTCGTGCAATGCTATCGGTTAAAAAAAGTTTTAACGCTAGCAGGGCACCCTATATCCGGATAACACGTGTACCGCACATATATGTGAACATTTTATTATAACTTATGTTTAAGTACATTATAATTTATAGATAATATATCACGTAAATATAATTTTAAATATCTTTTCGTTTACATGGTCCATTGTTGATTATGAATATTATATTATGACATATAATATATGTATAATAATATTATTAATATACTAAATAGGTACTAAAAAATAATTTGACAAGTTTCTATCTAAAAAGTTATTTAATTAGTAAATTATGAAAAATAGTGTAATATTATAACAGTTTTAAGTTTTTTTACAAAACTTTTATACTTTAGTTGGTTAGGTATCAATAAACTAAGTTTTGCCAATGTTGTTAATATGTAATTATTAAGATATAAAAATTTTCAAAATAGATTTTTTTTGTTTATAATAACATAAAAACTTAAATATTTCTACAATGTAAAAAAACAAATATTTTTAATAAACTCACAATCTTATTACTTTGTCTAATTAAAAATTATAATTTTATTTTGTCGTGTTATATTTCAAACCGTATAGTGTCTGTTGTTTATGGAATTCATGTAATTCACTGTATGTAATATTGGACAAAATGTCATATATTTTTCAAAGTACCAAAAAAACATTTTTTATGAAAAAAGTTAAAATTTAAAATTTAATTTTCTAAAAAGTATAAAAATGATATACGCATCATATAATTATTTATTTCAATATTTTAATTTAATATATATCTATGGACAGATTAAAAACCAATTTATCACGTACATTAAAAATAAATATGTTTTCAAAATTTCAATTATACTTTAATACGTTGCTGAAGTATTATAAATATTTAAAGAAAAATAGATTGGTTTCGAATAATCTTTTAATAGTTTTATAAATACATCTTTATAAATTTATTATTTATAAATTATAAAACATTAGTTAAAAATGAAAATACCTACTGGCTACTAAATTATGGTTATAAATAATATAAACGTATTTTACTTATATACATATAATATACGTATTTTTGTAAAATTATAAAT